GTCAGTCTTCCACTCCCTCCCCAAGGGAAAAGAACAGCAGAATCTTGCTGGGTTTCCACATCTGGTAACAAGCATCTGAGCTTCCCTTTTCAATACCAGGGTCAACCTTTCACTGTTTGAAATACTGAAAATATGGGTGCCCTAAAATAGCTATTGCTATTTAAAACCTGACTAGAACACTTTAGGGATAAGGATGAATCATTCAAATAAATATTTTCTCATGGGGGTTCAAAGAAAGTCTCACCAATGCATTGGTGTGCTTTGATACCTAGAAAAATGACAAGAGACTAAGAGATAATGGAAGAAATTTTTGTTTTCCTTTGACTTCAGCATTTTTTTCAAACATAAATGTGTTTTCATTATTTTAAACATTAAGGAGATGTAAAAATCATTTAGGAAGCTGAGGTTAGAACAAACCAAACAAATGATCACAGGATATTGAAAAGTGCTGAAATTTAGCAACAACTCTTATTAGGACTGAGATACAGAAAAAATATTTTTATATATACAATTTACTTTATATATATGTGTGTGTGTATGTGTATATAAATAAATTTATTCACAGGAATTTCAAGTTAATTTCTTAAAAGTCTAACAGTCTTTTTCTGTCATACTATACACAATTATATTGGGAAATTATGATTGGTCATTTGACTTTCAGTAAACTCACTAATCTTTTTTTTTCAATTACTTTATTGTTGTTCAATTACAGTTGTCTGCATTTCCCCCCTCACTACTCTTATATTAAGAAATAAATTGAACATTTAGAAAAGCAAAAATGTTATCCCTTTCTAGCCTCAACAGGAGAAAGCAGAAAGTGCCACATAGTCAAATTAGTTTAACCCTTCAGAATAAGTTGGCTGAAATTACTAATAGATTACTTTGTTTTAGCTATTTTTCCCTTACTATAGAAACAATATAGGCTCAATATCTAAATTTAGATAACACAGTTAAGCAGAAGAATAAAATATAAACTATCTGTAGTATTAATATCCAGAGATAGTCACTGTGTTCATTCATTTTGACCAATCTCATTTCACACTAAATATTAAAAATTAATATATTTTAAATTAAAATTTTATATATTTGTTTATTATGAACATTTTAAAATATTTTTAGTAACTTTACAGTGCCTGCTTCACAGTATATATCAAATAAATACATAAAAGTATCCAGAATGTATTAGCTTATTCTCTTTATTATTTTTCAACTTTTAAAAATTTCTTTTGGGACAATTATAACTGCATAAACAATACTAAAACAAAATAAAAATTTCTATTGATTTTAGTGATGAAAAAAATTCTGGAAAAACTCCTAAAGGAAGTTCCGCTCCCAATGCTTTCATAAATTTATGCTTCAATTTTCTTTATTACATCAAATAACCAAACTGAAACCTATAAAATTAATCACAACTATAAGAATTACTGCTTACTATGCTTACGGCACATCTTCTGAACAGGAAGTGTATTTTTCTCTATGTTTAGTACAAAATAAAGTGCAGTCATAAAACATTTAAAATGTAGTTCATGTGAACAACTGATTACATGGAACTCAATTAAATTTTAAACATCATTTAAATTAATTGATTTAATTCAAATAAAATCCATTCAAGCACTAGTGACTAATAAACTGAATTCTAATGACTCATATTCAGGAAGAAATGTTTAGCTTCAAACTCAAAATTTTTAATTAAACTAGAGAAGTGTTATTCAAATTTTTTCAGGCCTCTGGAACTCAGTACTCATTGCTAACTTCCTGAAACACTGATTAAGCTTCAAAACAATTAAATAAATAACTTTTTGAAAGATGAGACCCCTTCTTAAACTAGACTTCATTATATACACCTGAGAAAAACTGTGTGTGTAGATGGGGGAGAATGAACCAGAACCATTATTTGATTTTAGTAGCACAACTCAGTTCAGCTCACACCTCTGAGGAATAGTTTCAGAAGCAATAAACTAGAGGAGCTAAAACAGCCACATTTATAGATGAAAGTTAAATTAGATCTTTTAATGCCTTTTAACATATAAAAATACCAGCAGCACCAAATGATCTCAACTATCAACTATCTCTAAATTGCTTTTGTCTTCTGCCTTCAAAAACAGATTTGGTTCCATAAAACAGCAATCTAGAGTCTCCAGTGCCCTAAAGATAGCAGAACTCTTGTACTGACATATCACATTCTTGTTCACTGATTTCATCGAGTTAGGCCTGCACAAAACTGGACTGAGCGTCATGAGCTAACATTGATGATCCACCTTCTGGGGAGGGGGGCGGTAGAAGAGGGGATAGAAGGCATAAATGGTGATAGAAGGAGAATTGACAGGGTGGTGGGCACACAATACAATATACAGATAAGGTGTTACAGAATTGTACACCTGAACCTATATAATCTTATTAACCAATGTCAATCCAATAATTCAATTAAAAAAAGAAAAGAAGATCCACCTTCATTCCCTAAAGGGGACTGCCCCGCATGGAGTGGGAAATGTAGCCCAGCCCCCACTCAGAAAGGCCAGTAGGGAGCGGGGTTGGCACACAGGACCCACGCCTATGGATAGGTTCTCCCATGGGGGATCAGGCCTGCATTGTACCTAGGCTGCTATGAGACTTGCTTTTGCTAAAACTCCTTCACCCTGGATTGAGGCAGCAAATGTGTACTGCATATCTTTAAAGTGACTTCCTAAAAGCTGTACTAAACTTCCCAAGTACAGAGTGTAACCAGTTCAACTACTTTTCCCCTTGATCTGTAACACCCTTCTCTTTGAAGTAATTAGCAACATTCTTTCCTTTGTTATCTGTAAAAGGTAATCATTTATAGCAAACCTGTACATAGTAAATGAAGACCATCCTCAATGTAATGTGCCAGAAGAGCAATAGAAGCTTGTCCAGGCAAGGGTCAGGGCCCTCTCTCTCACTTAGAGAGCGGCCATACTGTCCCTTTTTCTCCACAGGACTTCTGTAGTCTGTGTGAATTTGTTCATCACAGCCACAACACATGGACCCTGCCAGCCAGGGTCTGCATCAATTCCCTAACTTCCCAAAAGCTCACTGATCTTTGATTTTCTGAACTACTGGGGCTGCCATCCCAAAAGACCATTACACAACATGTTTGGTTTAGTATTCCCTTATACCTCCCCTCCCTGCCCAATCACCATGCAGGAATGAGATACGATATTTCTTTCCCATGCCAAACACATACAGTGCTGGGCCAAGAACTCAACAAATATCTGACCAGCTTTTAACTGACTCCTTGACATCTGTGAGATTTCTGAGCTTTTATTCAATGCTCTTTTCTTGTGAGCAGTTCCTTCAACTTAAAAAGTAGTATACTTTACCTTACAAGACTTTCTTTATGCCTTACTTGTCTTCCAGTTTATTTTTAACTCTCAAAAAGGCTGGTGTGTCCTGGCCATCAGTGGAGAAAATATGCAGTGATAGCAAGTCAGCCTGATAATTTGAACAAATTAAGATCTTGGGATGGTGAAAGTGACCACAGAGGCAGCAAACTAGAATACAAACCAGCAGGCCCAATTCTTTAAAAAAGAACATGAGTTCTGGTTTCATCCCATCCCATCATCTGCAGAGGCCAGGATTGTGGGGCGCCTGGAAAGGAGATTCCAGGTCCCAGCCTTGTGATGAGGAACCTAAGGCCTTGGGAGGTAAAATGAGTTACCCAACATACACAGCTAATTAAGTAGCAGGGCTGGTATTAGAACTCAGCTACCCTGCCTTTCAAATTTCTGATCAGAATCATTAAAATGAGTCTGTGGAAGCAAACCCCTAGTGAAGTCTGTGGAAGCAAACCCCTAGTGATTTCTTTTCTTTTTTTTTTTTAAGATTTTACTTATTTATTTTAGACAGAGGGGAAGGGAGGAAGATAGAGAAGGAGAGAAACATCAATGTGTGTTTGCTTCTCTCACACCCTCTACTGGGGACCTGACCTGACCCACAGCCCAGGCATATGCCCTGACTGGGAATCGAACCCGCGGCATTTTGGTTTGTATGCTGGCACTCAATCCACTGAACCATACCAGCAAGGGCCCCTAGTGACTTCTTAAAGCAAACTGTTGGATGACCAATTGTGGTAAAATTAAATTCTGGAGTGGACTATCCTGGCTTAACTGGATGGCTACATGAATATAGCCTGGGAGCAGACAGAAGAATATATAAATGGACAACTGAAGAACACACATATGGGAATGCACTTACGCAAGGAAACAATGTGTTATACATAAGCACACAGAAGAGAAGGATGTGAAGACATCAAGAGTACAGCACTTTTCATACTTGAATATTTTTTAAATATAATTTGTCATATTTTGTAATAGTTGGTCATTTTTCACTGACGTGTTAGTAAATGTATAAAATTGTGATGTCCTGGCTGGTGTGGCTCAGTGGATTGAACGCTGGCCTGCAAACCAAGGGGTCACCAGTTCAATTCCCAGGCCAGGTACACACCTGGATTGTGGGCCAGGTCCCCAGTAGGAGGCACATGAGAGGCAACCACACATTGATGTTTCTCTCCCTCTCTTTCTCCCTGCCTTCCCCTCTGTCTAAAAATAAATAAATAAAATCATTTAAAAAGTGAAATTGTGAAATTAATTGTGGAAAAATTCTTTCATATTTCAGTTTTAGTCTTTTTCTTTTACCTTTATGTCAGTGTGCAGAATGCAAAAAGGAATTTTTTAAAAAAGGAAACTCTTAAAAGAAGGAAAGAACAAACACTTAGCTTGGGAAAACTACGGCAACTAATACTTTCATTCTTTTTAAAATATGTTAAAAGGTATCTATTTGCCTACCTATCTGCTTTATATTGAAATTTTTATTACAAATCACAGTTTGTACATATTTTTCACTTTCTGCAATTTAATATGTCACAAAATTTTTTCAAATAAGTGTCCAAGAAGTAAACATATATATTCAAATTATAAACCCAATTCTTACAACTCAGAAGCAGCTCAAAAAAAGTCAAAAGGAAGTCACACGTCTTAGCTTACCATATACAGGGGAAAACGTGAAGTAGTTCAGATGACAAATGTTATAGGCTTCAATCCTAACATCTTTCCAGATGCCCTGGGTAGGAAAGGAAGGCCCCCAGTCCCAACTAAAGGAACACTGCTCCTGTAATTTCAAGGGGAAAAATAGAAGATAGATTCTGGTTACCATGAAATTTAAACATTATTTTTTTAAAGTTTTCTTTTTAAGATATTGTAAAAGTATGTATTAGTTTGCTGGGTATCAACAAAATACCACAGATTGGGTGGCTCGAACAACAGAAATTTATTTTCTCACAGTTCTAAAAGCTGGGAATTCCCGACACCTAGGTGTTGGTAGGAATGATTTCTCCTGAAGCCACTCTCCTAGGCTCACAGGAGGTGCCTTCTCACTGTGCCTTCACAGAGTCATTATTCTGTGTGCTTGCACACACCCCTAGTGTCTCTCTCTGTCGTCCAAACTTCCTCTTCTTGTAAGGTCTTCATTCTTAATGGACTGGAACCCACCCTAACAGTCTCATTTAACTTGGTCATCTCTTTAAAGACCTTATTTCCAGATAAGGTTACATGTTGAGCCACAGAGGTTTAAGACTTCAACATACAAATTTAGGGGGGTTGAAAAAAAACAAATTTGGAGGGAAGGAGCACAGAATTAACTCCATAATAGTATATGTGTATGTGTACTATCCATAGGATCTAAAATGGCCCACAATGCTCTGGCAGGGTAACTAAGTTAGTTGGAGCATTGCATATCTAAAGGTTGCAGGTTCGATTCCTGGTCAGGGCTTATACCTAGGTTGCTAGTGCAATCCCCAGTCAGGGTACCTATAAGAGGCAGCCAATCAATGTTTCTCTCTCATCTATCTCTGTCTGTCTCTCTCTGCCTGCCTCTCCCCCCACCCACCTTGCTTCCTCTCTCTCTAAAATCAATAAACATATCCTCGGGTGAGGATTAAAAAATAAATAATAAACAAAAATAAAAGTAAAATGGCCTACAATGATTCCTCCCTAGTATTCATGCCCAGGTGGAATCCCCTCCCCTTGAGTATAGATTAGACCTAGCAAATCATTTCTAGCCAGCAGAACACAGCAGAGGTGATAACTTCTAAAATTAGGCTATAAAAGACTGCACCGACTGCACCTTCTGCTTGGGGAGCTCACTCCCACTCTCTCTTGGCCAAGGGGGAAGCCAGCTGCCATGTTGTGGGGCAGCTCTGTAGACAGGCCCATAGGAGTGGGCTTGGAAGCTAACCTGAGGCCTGCCGATAACCACATGCAGGAACTTACACACAAACACTCCTAGTCAGCCTGGAGATGACTGCAGCCCTGGTCCACGGCTTCACGGTAACCTCATGAGTGACCTTGAGCCAGAGACACCCAGCTAAGCCACACCTTCCTGACAGAAACTATGACAATAAGTGTCATTTTAAGCTGATAATTTTTGACATTATTTGTTACACAGCAATAGATAACTAATATATCAACTTATGTAACTAGTTATATTTTGCAGAAATGCTCTAAGAACATAAAATTTACTTAGGTGCATTTGTTCTTCAAAAGTATATTACATTGAGGCAACAGAATAGTTACTTTTTAGACTTCTCAAAAATATCTCTTAACCTACCATTGTATTTACATGGAATGACTATAGAGAATATTGTGTTTAAATAACTATAAAATATGAAGAAACAAACTGGAAGATTAAAGGTTTAAAAAACTCTAGCTAGACTTGCCAGCCCCTACTTGCTCCAGTATGAATTCAGAAGTACTTGTTCTGAACTTACAGCCCCGGAGTGACCAGTTCCCTGACACAGGTGGCCTGGGCAGACCTTCCGTCCAGTCTGACCCAGCCCTGCTCCCTGCCTCTCCCTTCAGGCACATTTCAGTTTTCACATTGATTTACAAAGGTTCAAATTCAAAAGCAGGAGATGGTTCCCTCAAAATAAATCCCTTTTTAAGCAGAATATTTCTAATTTCTACCTCTTAAAAGAAAAAATTATTTTCAAAATACAGTTCATTAAAATGTATGAGACAATCAGCTCAGCTTTTAAAAAGGAACAAGCACCAGAGGAAGTGCTAAGATCTTTTTAAAGGGAGCATTTGTAGAGTACAGCCTGAGGATCTGGCCAAACTGTTCTCATTTAAGCATTATTTCCCAAGCTCTGTATTTATGAAAGACAGAGATCAATTCATTTCCATTACTGGGAAAAATAAAGAATTAAAACCATTTCATAGCATCTGTATCTGTTGAAATTCACCAGGTAAGCCCTGGCTGGCGTAGCTCAGTGGATTGAGCACAGGCTGGGAACCAAAGTGTCCCAGGTTCAATTCCCAGCCAGGGTACATGCCTGGGTTGCAGGCCATGACCCCCAGCAACCACACATTGATGTTTCTCTCTCTATCTCTATCTCCCTCCCTTCCCTCTAAAAATAAATAAATAAAATCTTAAAAATTAAAAAAAAAAAAAAGAAAGAAATTCACCAGGTAAATATCAGATTGTCATGTTCGGAATGAAACCCACCATGGGGATATTTATTGGAAAGTTTGTAAGTTCAGATATATAATTCTTTTTATCAGGGACAGGGAGAAGTAAGAGGGCAAAAATATTAAACATCTAAAAATATATATGTGTGTGTGTGTTTACATATTCAACATCTTCTACAGAAGACTATTTTCCACACCAATGGCTACAAATCATTTCTATTCATACAACCTCCCCAAATATGTTATCACTTATTCCAAAAAATATTTGCAAAGTGCTTTCTATGCGTTAGGCTGGTAGTATATCAATGTACAGATCAGACACAGTCCTGTTTATAGTGTTCACAGTACAGCAAGAAATTCAGACTCTAAACAAACAAAAAAAAATCACAAAAATAAAGGAAACACACAGGGAACAAATGATGGGGGAAGGAGTTATCAAACAAGATTTCCTGAATAATAGCAACTTTTATATGGAGACTTGAGGGTAAGTCCCACTTGTCCAGGGTATTTAGGGGAGTGGGAAGTAAAGCATCCCTTTCAGTAGTAACAGCGAGAAAGTGCGATGCTGTCCAGGAAACACAGAGAGAACAATGGGAGAAGTGGCAGAATACTGAAAAAGTAATTGTGGGCTAACAGAGCTAAGAACTCTAGGCTGTAGCCTAAAGGCAATAAGGAATGGTTGAAGAGTTTTTAAAAGAGGAAGTACTGTGATTTTTGTCTGAAAAGAACATTCTGGCTGCTCTGTGGCAAATGAACTGGAAGAAGGCAAATGAGGTTGTAGGGATACCGAGGCAATATTTCATACAAGAAGTGATGACAGACTGAACTCAAGCATGACAGCAGGAATGGAGCGTAGGCAGATTTGAGAACCACTGATGAGGTAACATCCACATTATCAAAAGACTTAGCCATGGATTTGAGGAGGGAAGAAAATGAGATAGAGGAATCAAAAATAACTCCTAGGATTGTGGCTCGAGTGACTGTCCTGTGTGGTATTCCATTTAGCAAGACAGGGAGTTTTGGGAGAAGAGTTTGGATCCCGAGTGCAGTGCTGGACATAACTGAGCTTTAGGTCCCAGAGAATCAGCCAAGTGAAGATGCCAAACAGGCGATTGAATATCGGGTCTGAATTAAAGAGAGGTCTGAACTGACAACATGATATTAGAAGTCACTGGAAATTTGTTTGGTTATTGAAAAAATGAAGATACATGAGACAGACTAGAGAGGATACAAAAATGAAAGAAGAGTGTCTAGAACAGAGAAAGAACTGAATAGTAAGACTTTTAAGAGGAGGAACTTGGCCTGGATAAAGAGGCTTAGCAGGAACAGCCAAGGATGTCAATGGAAAGCAAGAAAGATGATGTGGAATATTCCAAAGGGGGAAGCGAGGTGATGGGTTCCACCATTCAAGCTGGACAGAGAAGGAAGCAGAGATAAGAGGTGGAGAAAGCAGAGAGGTCAAAGAATAGATGGAGAGTAACATTTCCTCATTATATCCACTCTCCACCTCTTTCCCACTAACTTCACATAAGCTAAGCTCTGAGGCATTTTGTCAGTTACACACTTAGAGGTCTGTAATTACAGAAATATGTCTCCAAAATAAATAGTAGTGCCACCCTACATTTGAAATAGCCGTATAGCATTTTATTATGGAAAGTGCATTTACATTAATATTTCACTGTATCTTCATATTAACAGTCAGGAAGGAAGGGAAGAGATTAGCTCCATACACAAATGATAGACTTGCCTAAGACCCTTCTGGATTTGTGAAGCCAGAATTCAGATCCTCAATTCCTGACCTGCTGTCCAGTTCAGGCCTTTTAACACTGGATCAGGTCAATCTAGCCAGAAACACACCCCAAATTTAGTATCCTGCTCTCACTGTGATGGTAGAAACCTGGGTCTGATTCCTGATATTAGTAACAAAGGAGTTTGTTCTATCTAAACAAACTGAAAGTGTGTTTTAAATGCCACAAAGTGACTAGCAGGTAGAGGGAAGCTACTACATGGATGTTTGTATAACATATATATACCCATACTGATGACCTGAAAAGTGAACTTTCACATTAGGAACCAGGAAGTCCTTGTTTCCATAGAAGGTTGAAGATAGAAGAGGGCAGAAAAGTGCAACCTCTAGTATTAAAACCACTGTGCCATTTGAAGCCAAAGGCAAAAAACAAAAGCTGATGTTTAAACAGAATGTGAGTAAGTGTTCCATGGAACTCCTGACTACTCAGTTACTTCCTGTCCCATCACAGCTGAATGAACACATGGTTATTGACACACTGACACGAATCTGGGTACATGGAGTCAAACGGATGGGAGTTTAATTCTGACCTTAGTGCTTACTTTAAGGAAGCATGATTTAAAGGTAAGAGCTGCTTAATTTAAATAATCAGAGTTTATCAACCGGTTCTGGTCAACGAGTGCTAAAAAAATACACTTAGTATTTTCATGATGAAACCAATGATTACACTTGTTAAAATTAAATGCTAATTCCTCAAAACATTTAGAAATATCATGCAATGCAGTCATCCCACTTCTGGATATGTATCAAAAAAAAATTGAAAGCAAGGACTCAAAGAAATATTTGCATGTCCATACATAGCAACATTATTCAAAATAGCCAAAGGTGGAAACAACTCAAATGTCTACTAACAGATGACTGAATAAATAAAATGTGGTATATACATACAATGGAATATCATTAAACTTTAAAAAGGAAGGAAATTCTGACATGTGCTACAACACGGATGGACCTGGAGAACATTATGGTAAGTGTAATAAGCCAGTCACAAAAAGACAAATACTGTATGATTCCCCTTATATGAGGTATCTAGAGGAGTCAAACTCATAGAAACACAAAGAATGGTGGTTGTCAGGGGCTGGGAGAGAGAGTAAATGAGGAATTATTTTTTAATGAGTACAGAGTTTCAGTTGTGCTGCATGAAAAATGTTCTGGAGATTGCTTTCACATCAATGCGATTGTGCTTAATAATGTTGAACTGCACACTTAAAAATGGCTAAGATGGTAAATTTTGTGTTATGTGTATTTTAACACAATTAAAATACTTTAAATAAAAATAAAATTAAAAACTAAGTAGATAGAATATTAATTCAACCATGAATTAGAGTAAATCCAAGTCATCTAGCCTGATATTAGACTCAGAGAAAAACATCCCCTTGTGGCTTTTGTTATCTGGTGTTAGATTTTATTGGAACCTACCAGTGAAATATAAGAACATGCCAGCAAATATGTTAACAATTACAGAAGGCTTCCTAGTAACAAGAATCACTGATAAATATAAACCTTATGGCCTGGTAAAAAGTTTGATAAACCTAAATGTTGAAAAATAATGTGTCAAGTTACATCACTAGTTACCTATTTGTCTTCTTTTCCTGATATTACCTAAGTTCTGAAACATGCTTCAAGAAAAAAAATCTAGAAAGACAAAAATTCTCCACCAAAAAATCATATAATCTTTTGGCTCTTATTTTTAAAAATTTTCAAATCCCACTACGAGACAACAAAGAGAAGTCCAACTTCCCAAGGGAGTCTTCAAATAAGCATTTCATATACCAGCACATCCCACCCTCAAGGTTACAGCCCCATCCACTTGTGAGACCGCTACCTTTCGAATGAAGTTGACATGGCATTCTCCCTTCTGGACATTCGGAGGGCAGTTTGGGGGCACCTCGTAGAGAGTGTGGGCTCTGCTCTGCTGCTCCGCATACAACACTGGTGACTGGAAATGCAGCTCAATGGAGTTTCGGGGTCTGACCACTTGGGTAATATCAAAGCTCTGAATTAAAGGCAAAGAACAAATGTGGAAGTAGCCTCGTGTGTAAAAGTTTAGATATAGGCATGTATAAGATGGAAGGAGAGATGCATAAAATAATTGAAACCTTTATGTTGAGCCTTTTGCAAGAGAAAACACTTTTTCAAAATAGTATAACTAAATTGCCGACTTTTAATTATAACTGAGTACATTCTCCTACCCAACGTAGATTTCTAGTTTTCTCCTTCTGTTTGTACTGACAGATGATGCTCCTAGTAAACAGAGCAAGCAGAAAATATATTTAGCTCTGTAATGTCTGCTCTGGCTATTTACATATGGCCTTGAACTGCCAAGGGTTTCCTAGATGCTTTATGACTCTTTGGTATAAATAGCATGTAATGATAAATTACTTTTGTTTTGGCAAGTCTACCCTTGAAAGGGAAGGGACATCAAGATTTGATCTCATAGCGTAATTATTCCAGAAAGGAAGGAACATTTTCTTTTAAAATGGTGTGCCAATTGTCATTTCCCATGAAACTCTGGATCACCAAATAGCAGAGAAGGAAATGGCATTTGTTGAATACTTCCCATGTGTCAAGAAATGTGCCGGTCATTTTATACAATTAGCTTACTAAATTCTCACACTTACTCCATAGGATCTGTAGTATTTTTATCATCCTACAAATGTAGCCACTGAGAAATAAAGTAACTTACACAGTGCTTCAAAGAGCTTGTACCAGCCTGCATAGGCAAACATGCACCTATCTTTGTCTACTCACAATGACAATTAACAGAAACACATAAAAGTGGGGTTTTTTAACCTGCTGTTATTATGTACTTACATATCTTTTGAACATGTTGTTTGTTTTCCCAATAAGAACATTATTGAGCAGGACTTTTGCAACTGTATCGACGCCCTCAAAAACCAAATTTACTTTTTGCCATTTGCTAAAAAAAGAAAATTAAGACAAGAAGTATAAAACATTAACTTAGCTGTCTTTTATATTAGTTTAGAACTAAAGGAATAAATATTTCACAGAAAATACATATCATTAAAAATCAGTTTCCAATGAAATTTCCAGAAGTTTAATGCATTTTTATATTGAGTGACCCTTATCTTTCTTCATAATTTTTCAATCACCATAAAATCATGAGCACAACTTATAATTTCCAAATTCATTGACTTTTTTCTAGAATTTCACAAAGCTCTTATGAAAATCAAGTTAAATAATAGACACAAAAAGCTTTCACAAAACCCAAAGGTGCGAGTGCCAAGAGCATCAACAACACTAAGGTAATAGGCTTGATTCAGGTTCAGAAGTCATGCTGGGAACCAAGCGGAGAAAGCTGGACAAGTCAGCAGGGCAGGAGGGGGTGCAGGAAGAGATACAGAGATGGGTGACATTAAGCAGTATTTCCACAGACAAGCAGAGAAGATTAAATCTGATTTGCCAATCAAAAGGAAGAGACTGCAGTTATTGAGCAAGAACACCATGGTAAAAATCAGTATTTTCAGAAGATGTGTGCACTGGAAAATAAAAAGACCAAACCATAAATTCAGTTAGGCAGTTTTGGCCTAAATCCAGGCATTCACTAAGGCGTAGTAGACAAAGGTGAAAACTTGAAAATGAGGAAGAAGGGGCTGAATCAAGAAAAAATACTAGGCAAAAATTAACAAGACTCAAAAACAGACTGAATACAGGGAGATGAAGAAAAGATATGATGAGACAAAAATACCTTAGGCATAGAAGATTGAGGAAATGGTGTTATGTCAAAAGAAACAATAAGGCTGTTAGAATATAAAGTAACTTTAACTGGGCAAGTCAATTGGTTAAATCTTGGATATGTTGAGGTCAAGGTGAAAGAAGGCCCTTAATGGGGAAATAAGTGCCTGGACCACAGGAATGTTGTGATATTGAGCACCATATTCTGCCTTTATTTCTCTTTTAAATAATTAGCCAAAAAAGACCTACAAAAGGGACGGAAGAATTTTTTTCTTTAGCAATAATGATGGTAGATACAATTAGGTTACATTCTGCTTCATAGAACATTACTGAGAACTATAACATGATTTTTCTCATGGCCTCATGACACAATATAAGGCCAATGCCTTAGTCTCAAAGACTGGTAATACCACACTGAACAAATGACATGCCTCAGATCCTACTTGATAATATCATAAATATGTAAACTCCACTGATTGCTGTGAGCAGGGAGAAGGACATGCAGATAAGAGAACTGACCAGGTTTAGGTGACTCCACTATAATCACAGGAAAATGACTGAGACATAAGTTCATGACTGATAATCAATAGCATCATTTTCATATACAAATCAAAACCTAAATCATACATTCACTTTTTTAAATTTCTTTTTTATTTACTGATTTTACAGAGAGAGAGAGGAATGGAGAGAGAAAAAAAAACACCGATTTGTTGTTCCACTTACGTATGCATTTGTTGGTCGATTCTTGTATCTGCCCTGACCAGGAATTGAACCCACAACCGTGGCACATTGGGATAATGCTTTAAGTAACTGAGCTACCTGGCCAGGGCCATATATATCATATAAATTCACTGTTATAATAAGGTTTTAGTCAACAAACCCTCTGATATGAAACCTAAAAAAGCAATAAATTATTGCAGAGAAAAAAAAAAGAATAGCTCAAATAATTATAAAAATAAATAAAAATAGATATAGATATACACACATACATACCTAATCTCAAAGGGGATTTGAAATTCCTTGCTATAGGTCCAGTTATCCAAGGAGATCCATCTGTAGTTAAGGTCATTAAATCTGTAGTAAGGATCCTGTTGGTAGAAATTGTGGTAGGTGATTAAGTATGCAAAAAATAAATAAAGTAAACATTAAATAAATTACTAATGATAGCTTTTTATCACCTAATAATTAATGAGTTATTGGCTTAGCAATATAGGGATTTCACATGCCAGCACATCTCTCAAGACTAAAGCTCCATCCATTTACGAGGCCACTACCTTTCAAACAAAGTTGACGTGGCATTCGCATACCAAAAATACTAAAAGATGTTTTTTTTAAAAAAGCCCAACAAAATACCTGAAATGAAAGAGTTCTGAAATTATAAATAATACAGTTTCACTATCAAAGAAGATTGGCTTCCCTTGTTAAAACCAAACTCACCTCCAAGGTATTAGCATTAAATGAAAGCCCGCACTTCTGATGTGTAGCCGTCATTCCCTCATTACCCTGTGGTTCTCGCTGTTGTTGCTGCTGCCACTATTTCAGCTGGCCTCTGGGGATAATGCTTCTCCTCTGCTGTCCACAGGTCAGCAAAACTCCCAGTCTCTGGATTTACTTAGCATTTCCAAAGCTATTTTTTTATTCACCTTTACTAAGTGAACCCTAAAAGTGTATCTACAGAGAATACACAGGAAGCACAGATACCATGAAACTTACAAACCTCAGGTTTCCTGTATTATTCCAGACCAGGTCAGAAAACTACAACCTGCAGGCCAAATGCAGCTCGCTACCTGTTTTTGTGTGGCCAGCAAACTAAGAACAGACATGTGTCCATCAATATAATTTTAGTGGAGAACAGTTGTGCCCATCCCTTTACAAATAAATTATATAGGGCAGCTTTCATGACATGACAGAGACCACATGGCCAATGAAGTCTAAAATCATCACTAGCCCATTACTGTAAACAGCTGCCAAACTCTGCCCTAGGTGACTAGCCTGCTGGATGTTCATGGTGCCATTCCACCAGAGTGTCCAGCCCCAAGTCCCCCATTTCATCACCCTTAGTGTTTCTTCTCCTGCTCTTCCTCCACCTTTACCTCCCAGATGAGGGCTCCCAGACAGGAGGCAAACAGGAAGTGGTAAGCAGAGCTTTTTGGTTCCTCTTCTGTGAGCATCCCCACAGCTACAAGAGGGAAACAGTGCTGACCCAAAGGGCTTCTCCCACTGACTGGGACAGGCCCGAGGGATTTCCTCAGGGACTACAACTCCAGATGGAGAAGGAAAAGCTGACTTTGTCTAAGTTCCACAGAGGTAAGGGTTGGACGGCCACATTAGGTTGGCAAAGACCAGCTGGGCACTTGCCCAGAGCATAAACCTGTAAGAAACTCTGCATCACTGAATGTGTTCCAAGATGGAAAAAAGGTACATGCCAGAGAGTGCTGACTGGAAGAAAGATATATTTTGATAAGCTACTAGGAGTAGGAGTGGTTGATGAGATTTAATAACAACCAGTAATCACCCAACTGACTTTTAAGGTCTGGTTTTGTTCTGCTAAATGGGATGTTCTGAGCCAGCCAACTTGCTTTCTTTTCTGCTCTTCCCCACACAGGACTCAGCCTCTCCAATGAATAAACTTAGAATAAATACTTAAGGACACAGGTTTGAAGAGGCACCTAATTATTAGCCTACCCACGTGTCTCCATCCAGCCCTATTTATAACTCTACACTGGACTGGGTCCAATGCAGTTAAAAATATCATGATGAGGAAGGTGTGAAGTCTAATGCAGTTGCAACATGTCTGCATTTTAAGCATCGGGGCTGCTGATGACGTGGCTTTCAGGGCACAAGTCCCCTTCCCGTCCCCCAGATCCTGGAAGGGAGCTGCATGTTGAGTTCAAGAGGGCCATCTTCTCAGATATATGTTTTCTAGGCAAATGGAATTTAAAGCATTAAGCATTTTTTCTTACTTAAAAAGCTGATGTGAAAAGGCTACATATTGTTTGATTCCAACCACGTGACATTTTGGAAAAGGCAAAACTATGAAGATAGTAAAAGGGTCAGTGGTTGCTAGGGATTAAGGGGGAGAGAAACATGAATAGGCAGAGGGTGGTGAAATTACTCTGAATGATACTATAGTGGTCGATCCATATCATTAGACAGCTGTCAAAACACACAGAATACGCACCAAAAGTGAATGGTAACGTAAACTACAGATTATATTAACCATTGTGCAAACCGTTCTCATTATATTAACTGTTCTTGTTATATTAAAAATGTCTGGACTTTTCCTCAACAAACCCCATAAATGAAAAGAAAAAAAAAAACAAAAACAAAAATGGCATTGAAATTCCAGGCTTCATTCACTGAGAAAAGATTGGTGCTTCTATTATAAACAGGAGCAATAATAAAAATTAAGGATTGGGAGGATTCAGAGAAGAGATATTTGAATACACTGAGTTTTAATATGCCCTGAAGACATTCAGATTAAAAAGTGGAGCAGAATTCCCAGCAGCAAATCAGGAGACAGTGGTAGTTAGAGATTCAGGCATTTGAGTAATTCTGGAACAAAGGTGATGGCTGAAACTCAGAGACTTCCAACAGACAGAGAATAGACAGGGAATGACCCTCAGGAAATGCTTGAATTTATCAAGAAATTTTATCAAATGGGATGCTTCTAGTGGTATAGTTGGTTTTTATTATATAACTTATAATTTTATTATAAAATTTATAATTATATAAAATTATCATTTATTATAATTTTTATTATATTGATTATGCTATTACAGTTGTCCTGATTTCCCCCCCGTGCCCCCCTCCAGTCAGCACCCCACACTCCTTCAGGCCATCCCCCACCATTGTTCATGTCCATGGGCTGTGCATTTCTTTGGCTACTCCATTTCCCGTACTGTACTTTATATCCCTATGGCTATTCTGTAACTACCTATTTGTATTTGTTAATCCCTTCACATCTTTACCCATTCCCCCAAACCACCCTCCCATCTGGCAGCCATAAAAACACTCTCCTTATCCAGGATTCTGTCTCTGTTCTTCTTGTTTGCTTAGTTCGTTATTTAGATGTAATTGTTGATAGATATGTATTTATTGCCATTTTATTGTTTGTAGTTTGGATCTTCTTTTTCTTAAATAACTGCCTTTAACATTTCATATAATAATGGTTTGATGATGATGAACTCCTTTAGTTATTTTTTGTCTGGGAAGCTCTTTATCTGCCCTTTGATTCTAAATGATAGCTTTGCTGGGTAAAGCAATCTTTGCTGGAGGTCTCTGCTTTTCATGACTTTGAATATTTCTTGCCAATCCCTTGTAGCCTGCAAAGTTTCTTTTAAGAAATCAGTTGACAGTCTTATGGGAACTGCCCTATAGGTAACTAACTTCTTTTCTCTTGCTGCTTTTAAGATCTCTTTTCATCTTTAAATTCTGGCATTATATTAAATATGATGTGTCTTAGAGAGGGCCCCTGTGCATCCATCTTTGGGTCTCTCTGTGCTTCCTGGATTTGCATGTCTATTTCCTTCACCAAATTAGGGAAGTTTTCATTCATTAATATTTAAAATAGATTTCCAATTTCTTGCTTTCTCTTCTCTCTCTGGTACCCCTATGATGCAAATGTTGGAACACTTGAAGTTGTTCCAGAGGCTGCTTACACTATCCTCATTCTTTTGGATTCTTTTTTCTTCTTGTTATTCCGATAGTTTGTTGGGTTTTTTTTTGGTTCCTTATGTTCCAAATCATTGATTTGATTACTGGCTTCATCCACCCTACTCTTATTTCCCTGTAAATTGTTCTTTATTTCAATTAGTAAATCCTTTGTTTCTGACTAGATCTTTTTTATGCTGCTGAGGTCCTCACTAAGTTCCTTAAGCATCCTATAACCAGTGTTTTGAACTCTGCACCTGATAGATTGCTTATTTCCATTTTGCTGAGCTCTTTTTCTAGAGTTTTGATCTGTTCTTTCATTTGGGCCATGTTTCTTTGTCTCCTCATTTTTGCAGCCTCCCTATGTTTGTTTCTCTAGAAACAAACATGTATGTATTTCTCTATGTATATCTCTATATATTAGGTAGAGCTGCTTTTACTCCGTGTCTTGGTAGTGTGGCCCGATGTAGGAGGTGTCCTGTCGACTCCAGTGGCACAGCCTCCCCTAGCACCTAAGCTGGGTACTCTAGGTGCACCCGCCTTATGGGCTGAGTACACACCCCTTTTGTAGATGAGCCTTGGTTTTTGTTGGCAGATCAGTGGGAGGGATTTACCCAGGTCAGTTAGCTGCAAGGATTGGCTGTAACCACTTACCACCAACCTCTTGCCTCCATGGAGGATCAGTTGTGCAGGGGCAGGGTGATGGTGCTCCAATGTGGTCTGTAGCTGTCCACTGTGCACTGGCCCTGGGGTTTCCCATGTGTTACACACAAGGTCAGCCCCCACCTACTGGCTGCTGCTAGTGCAGGGTGTAGACTCACTGAGGCCAGCTGTTGCTTGAGAGACATTATGAAGTTGTCTAGCATGAGCCAAGACCAGCCATTCATATAGAAAAGCAGCTTGGGTGGGTCCATAAACAGGGTAGGGCAGTGTCTCTAGGGTTCTCCAAGGTGGGTCAAACAGTGTTATCCACACTGATGAAGTCTCAGATACGGCACCAGCTTGCCAACTCTGTGGTGGGAGGGTTTAGAAAAGGGACAATGGCCTCTGCTCATCTTGATGCCAGATACTTCAGTTCCTCCCAGTATGCCACTGGTGCCTTTCAAGCTCCTACTCCAGTACTGGAGCTCAGAGGGAGTGAGTCTGAGAAGGTGAGTCCATGTGTGGGTTCTTTAAGAGGAACTGCTTAGGGCTTCAAAAATTTCTTCCACTGAATCAATCTGTGCTAGTTTTTGCAGCCAGAAGTTGCAGTGAGTTATCTTTCTAGCACTGGAACCCTGGGCTTGGGGGCCTGGTATAGGGCTGGGACTCATTGCTCCTGAAATATCCCTCCTGAATTTTTATACACCACACATGGGTGAGGGACCAGCCTGTTCTGTGTCTGCATGCTTCCTATCAGTCTTGATGGATGTGATTTCCTTAATTCTATAGTTAT